CCTCATTAAATTTAACATTGGGTGTAATATAGACTTTTCCATCGGAATTCATGCATTTATAACCCTTGTGAATAAGACTATACCCTATGAAAACACACTTGGAGGAATGTAGGCTGAATTTATGAGAATTAAAATCCCTTAAGTAGGGAAAACAAGCACAGCCAAAAACTTTCAATGTAGAGTACAAAGGCAATCTTCCAAATAAAATTTGATATAGAGAATTAAAATATAAAACAGATGATGGCATACGATTTATCAAGAATACAGCTGTATCGAATGCACACCATCAAAGATTCATAGGCATAGATGCATGTGCAAGCAATGTTAAACCAGTCTCAACAACATGCCTATGTTTTCTTTCACTACGACCATTTTGTTGATGCACATATGCACATGAATATCGAAATTGAATACCAACCTTAGTAAGATATGAGACCAGGCCTTTATACTCTCCCTCTTGGTCTGACTGAAGACATTTAAATTTGTATCCAAATTGCCTTTCAACTAAATGATGAAATCGAATGAAAACAGATGCAACTTCAGCCTTTGTTCTTAACGAAAACAGCCAAGTATACCTACTAAAATCATCTATGAACTGAACGTAGTACCTAAATCCCTCTAAAGAGCTTAAAGGTGCAGACCCCCAAACATCACTATGCACAAGAGCAAGTGGTTCAGTGGCCCTTGAGTGAGAGGCTGGAAAATGATTTTTATGCATTTTTCCAAGTAAGCAATCATCACAAAAGGCTACAGCAGAAATTGTTTATTTTTAGACAACGAAGTAAAAGGAATATGATGCATGATTTTGGAAAATGTTTCAGCATAAGGGTGCCCTAATCTTTGATGCCATATCATAGATGTAGGATCTTTAATAGACTCAGCATGACATGCGAAGGCAGAAGTATGAATTGAAGGTGTTAAAATGTCAATTAGAGACTCAGCAACACTAGCATCAGAACACAAAACATTTTTTACTTCAGCAACAGTACATAAAGAATCAGTTACAGTAGCAGCTAACACATTGCTCAAAGTACTATCATTCTTAGATGAGCACAAAGAGTTCATAGGTTCATAGCAGGCACAACATGTGCATTATCATTCATACCATCAACATGCATTGGATTAAGCAATGAACACAAAGTACTTTTATTGATTGGCTGTTGTGTACAATTGACATTATTAGGAGTAATGTGACTGTCAGTACAACTTACAGACGTTATATTAGAATTAGACAAAAACGAAAGTGATGAACTAACATCAAGAGGTATTGAATTTTGAGAATGCTCAATACTTGATGAAACACAACCAGATTGAGTACGAGCACTTGCAAACTTATTAGACTCTATTAACGACACAAAGGACCGAGAACCAGGTAAAGCAGATTGTGCAGGAATTTTAGTTGAAACTGAATTTGATGAAGGCTGAGAAGTAAGGGCAGAAGGGAGGTTCAACTGATACAGCCCAACTTTAAGTTCTCCCTGCAGCAATACTGTACTAGTGATTTTGTTCTTAACCACACAACAATCAAATGAGAACTCAACTATAACATTGTTATCTTTAGTAAATTTAGAAATGCTAAGCTATTTTTTGGTAATTCTAGGTACGCATAAAACATTTTTTAAATAAAGACATTTGGAATGTAAGGAACTAGGTAAATATGTAAGGCCAACATGTGAAATATTTAGGTACTCACCGCTGCCAACTTGTAGCTGCTCTATTCCATCATAGCTCCTGCTAAGATTAAGGTGATTCAGGTCAGCAGTAACATGATCTGTAGCCCTAGAATCCATATACCAGGCGGGGTCTTGTGTGGCTGCTGGTGTGGCTGTCATTGCAGAACCAAAATGTGCACAACCAGGTAGGTTATGATGAGCAGCAAAATATGCTTGAGTTGATCCAAATGGTTGCTGACTAGGTACTGTAAACCCGGATTGACCAGGATTGGAACTTGTAGTTCCAGAAAATTGTTGTCCTGACAATTGTTGTTGCCCAGAAAATTGCTGCTGTTGACAATTACCATGATTCAGCTCAGAGACCTGATTCACTCCATAAGGAGAGATAAAAGGAAGTCCACTTGGAAGCTGCTGTCCACTAGAGATAAGAGGATAAGATGGTCTGTTATGAGGCTGAAATGGACCAGGACTATTAATTTGTCCTCTTGAGTAAGTAGGTAAACTTTGGAGCTGACCAGGATTCCCACTTTGACCTCCAGAGTAGGGAGGTGCACCATTGTATGATGAATTATACCTATGGTAGCATTGGACAGCAGTGTGTCCAACTTTACTACACACTTGACAAACCGGTCCGCCTCTATTATTTTCTCTACCTCTTCCTCTTCCAATTTGAGGAAAACCAGGGGTGTTGTTACCAGAAAAAGGACTTCCATACTGTCCTATGTGAGCTGAAGTTGGATAGGGATTAATGGAAGGTAAAACTCTCGTATTGGAAGCAAGAATCTGAGAGTGATAATTTGGAGGGTAATGTTGAGGTGTAAGATAATTTGGAGGGTAATGTTGAGGTGTAAAGGAATGATTTGGTATATTTGGAACAGAGGAAGATGGTAGTGGCGTACTTGGTAATAGGGAAGGGTTATTAGTGGACATTGTGTTGGGCACTGTGTTATTGTGGAGAGTAGAATAGGATGTTGAGCTGCCTAAATTATTAGTGGCAGTAATATGGCCGGCACTATTTGAGAAGTCAGGGGAATTAAATTTCTCAATTCGCATCTCATACTTTTGAAGCAAGTATTGCGCCTCTTGTAATGAAACAGAATCAAATTTAGACTCAATCCTAGAAGTTAAGTTGACGATGACAGCATCAAACTTTGGACCAAGACCATCAAGAATCAGTTGCAACAAATCTTCATCAGAAATCAACTGTCCACTTGCCGATAAATTCTCAGCTATACCTTTCATCTTTTTCACATATTCACTAACAGTTAAGTTCCCTTTTTGAGTGTTTTGTAGAAGGTTTTTAAGATGCAAAGCTCTTGCCTTAGAGTCGTTTAAGAATTCATGCTCAAGAGTGAGCCAAATAGCAGTAGATGTCTGACACTTGGACATTTAGCTAAACATACATTCGGATATTGATGCTAGCAACCAAGTAATCAGAAATTTATCAATCCTTTTCCAAGCTACATATGCTGGATTAACTAAATTTCTTGCACTAATTTCTCCTGTTTCTGAAGTGGTTTCATTCTCATTATCAATTAGTGGAGTAGGGCAGGGAACTAAACCTGTTAAGTGGTCTTCAAACTCATGAGCTCTAACTGCCGATAAAACTTGCGATTTCCAGAATCTATAGTTGTCCCTGTAATTGTCTCTTGTCAACTTAGGGTTTACAACTTGGAGGCTAGAAGGAAAGGCTGACGTAATTGAGCTGGATGAGCTATGAAGCATGTTAGTCCCTGATTTCACTGACTGATCAGAATCAGAGGAATTCGCCATTGACAATTAGTCGATGGGCTCTGATACCATGTGAATCTTGAAGGAATTTGAAGAAAATTTCTAAACGACAATTTAATAAAGAAAAACAGAGGAAATAGCGTGAACTGCAAACTGATTCATTAAAACAAAAGCTTATTACAGATTGCTTTATACACAGTAGCAACAGAGTAGTTAACTTTATTGAAACGACATCACTTTGGCACTCTTACAATAAGCCATTAACTTTATAGACTAACACTTGGATCCACAAGGTGGCTATAGTGGAGACTGTAGTGGCTTGGATGGATGATTTTTTTGGTTAATTTTAGAACTTTTATTGAGAAAGGTGATAATGTTTTTATTAATTTTAAAGCTTTCATTGAGAAAATTTTTGAGTATAATATGATTGAATTTTGAGAATATTAAAATGCTTTTTTTTTTTTTTAATATAAGGTAATAGGTTTTAATAGGGAAACATACACAACCTAACTGATTGAATTTATTAAATTGATATAGAAACGATGCATGATGATGATTGGACTGGTTATCTAAAATGAGTTAAACGTGCACATCAATTATTAAGAATAGTGCATCGAAGAGTAATGCTACAGTCACCGAAGTAGTGCACCGAATTCATGCACCGAATGACGTGGTAAAATCCTGACCGTTGATTAATTTTAACTTAATATTAATCGATGATTAGGAATTTACCACGTCATTCGATGCATGAATTCGGTGTATAACCTTCGATGACTGTATCTTTCTGGTGCATCGAAATGACCTCAAGGCCGATTGATTCGATCTGTGTGGCTCTACTTTTTTTTAATCTAGTTAGGGTGGGACTATAATGGTCTCCATAACAGTCGTATATATGCAATAATTAAGTCTCATACATATTTAAAACTCTAATTAATTAATTAATAATTAAAGTATTAGTTTGATTTTGTCATAAGAATTCACATAATATATTAGGGTAGTTATTGATTGTTTCACTCATAACTTTTATTATGAATAATGTAATGTATAAAAATTAATCACACAAGTTGATGTAGATGAGTTTAAACTGTTTCTTAATAATTAATGTGACAATCCTATATGTTAACAAATTATTTTAGTTTATTTAATTTATCTCTAATTTTAAGACATTCAGTTATATTTAAATATATCAATTTGTCTAAGTAAGTTTGTATATATTCTATTAATCCTTTTCACTACGTTGCATCTTCAGAATAGTATTAATTACATAAATTAAGTAGATGTATAACAATTGTATGGAGATCTTTTTAATTATTCTAATATCAATCCTAATATTAGTAAATAAAGGGATTTTGGATCAGTAATGGAAAACAAAAACTCAAAATCGGTAATTATTGCTTGAATTTATTTCATATAACTTTTCCTCTCATTAGAGTGCATGAATTAAATTAAAAACACAGATCTAAAATAAAATACTTTTTCTCCACACAGCACTCTTTAAATATTGCAAAATAATAGACACTCTGATCACAAACCAGAACAAGTTTTCATGGAAAAAAACTAGCCAGTTTCTCAAGGATAAACTTCAAGGAGAGATCCTTAACCTAATATTGGGGTTATTTTATAGCGAGTGAAACCAGCTTCCAGGAGAAGCTTGGCCCACTCTTTCTCATCTCGCTTTTTCCCTGTAACCAACACCATCATCATCATGTCAAAGAAGAGTTGCGCTTCAGTCGACTCATCATCCCCTTCTTTCTTCTCTACCAACATGTCTATTATAATCACTTTCCCCATCTTCCCGTTGCTTGTAATCGCTTCCTTACATTTCTTCAGAATCATCACGCATTCTTCATCCCTCCAATCGTGTAATATCCACTTCTTATCAATCACCACGTCAGTAAAATTTTTCAAACATGAAACAACAACTAATAAATATTATCAAGGATAGAAAAATATTACGTTGAAGAAGATATTGGGAGTAATAACTTCAAAATTACCTTAAGTAAGACTGCATCTGCAAAAGGAACAGCCTCAAACATATTGCCTCCGGCATATTTGAGATTGGTCATTGTTAGGGCCAAAAATCGTCCTTGGCCCAAATAGGAGAATGAGACTGAATGAGGAAGAGACCAGGCCCAATCCCAATGCGGCCCTATTCGGATTATGCCTATTTGATACGAGATACAGTCGGCCCAAACCATCAGGTCCAGGCCTCCAAATCCCAATTCACTTCCTCAACCTATGAGCAAGTCCAGAGCCCACGGCACCCACAGATCACTTTCCTATTCCAGACCAGTCTCCTATTCGAGGTCACCTTCCTGTTCAGGTCACTTTCCTACTCGAGGTTACTTTCCTGTTTGGGATCACCTTCCTATTCGAACACTGGTAAGATAACTCACCACTGCCCTAATTCCTCTAGAGTTTGTATCAGAGTCACACTAGGACTCCTACTTCCCACCAGGACTGGGAGACCAGACAATCACTATATAAGCAGAGGCCAGCCCTCTCACAAGGGAGATTAGATTACATTACACCTTCACACCCGAAGCTCCTACTTGAGAGCTTCACATCACTGCCGTAGTCACAGTCCCTGACTAGACTTTCGGTAATGTCTCTACTCCCTAGCCCTCACTATACTAGCTTCTTTCAGCCTTGCTGACTTGAGCGTTAGAATGCCTACGACAAACACCACCCCGGTGTTTCCCATTCGCTTCATGTTTGTTTCTCTATGTGTGCAGATGTAGCGGATCGCTAGTGGCCTCAATCTCATGGGATCAAACCCCCCTTCTGTACAGGTATATTTTTACGTCTACAGTTTGGCGCCCACCGTGGGGCCTCTAGCAATCATTCAGCTTGACGAACCTTGCTACGTAGAGGAATTTTCCATGGCTGACCCTTCGGACAACGCTAACTCCGGCCTCGAGGCTAGACTGGAGGCTCTGACCACTCTCATGCAACAAAACTCAAACAAGATGGCCACACTGGAAGCCGATAACAATGCACTCCAGAGCAAAAACGCATCCATCAGGGCCGAAAACCAGTCTTTTAAAGACAAGATGAGTCAGTTCTATGATCCGGAGATTCTGCCTTGCCAGGTACCTCCCAATTGATTCCGTGCCCCAGTTCCATCCATGCAAACTCTCCAAACCCAGAGCACAGACCCTCGGCCTCAGGTAAAAGGCCACGTCCATTAAGTTCATCGGTGGTCGACGACTCGATCCTGACTCATGGAGGAAAGGATCTACCAACAGAACCCCATTCATTCGATCCACCCCAATCTCGAGATCAAGACGCCTAAGAGACAAAGAGCCCACACCTGCAAGACCAACCCATTCTTACCATCCAGCCTCACCTCCAGTCAACTATCCTCGCACAAACACCATTCGGCTTGGCTTGGCTTACCCTCACGGGTTGAACGGCCAACCCAACCAAACTATAGCACTCGAGCCCACCCATCTTGACGGATTGAACGAATATCAAACAACCCCCCTGACCATTCATGTGGGGCGAAACACCAGATCAGTTACCATGAGAGTCATCCGACTAGAGGGAATGAACGGAGATCCGGGCTACCAGGGTGTGCATGAAGGAATGATCCACCAGACTACACTGCGCAGGATGACCCAACGGAATATGCCAAGGACGAATGCAATGGTTGACCTAGTCAAATAGGATGACCTGGTGGTATCCCCCTTTCCTATAGAACAGGTACTGGCCAAGAGGCTGGCTGATGTAGAGGCAGTGATGAGGCGCATCCTAGGAATGTCGGTCCTGACCAAGAAGAGCAGGTCTCACTGTTACGCGGATTCACCCTTTGTGGATGAGATCGCCCTAGCCGACATGCCCCAGAAGTTTACTATTCCCAGCATCAAACCCTACGATGGCACAACCGACCCAGATGATCACATAGCCTCGTACAAGTAGCGGATGTTCACTATCTCAATACCCCGAGCGTTGAGAGAAGCCTGCATGTGCAAGAGTTTTGGTTCAAGCTTATTCGGTCCAGCACTCTAATGGTACACAAATCTTTTGAACGGTTCCATCGAATCATTCGCTTAGCTCATTAACACCTTTGTGGAGCAGCTCGCCAGCAGCAAGAAACTCGAGAAGCTGTCGGCCGATTTATACAGAGTATACCAGAGGAGGGGAGAGCCACTAAGAGAGAATGTTAGCAGATTCAACAAAGAGAAGATTTCCATCCCTTCTTGTAACCCTGAGACAGCCGTAGACGCCTTCAAAAAAGGTCTCCTCCCGGATGACGAACTATACAAAGAACTGACGAAGCTAGGTTGCACCACGATGGAAGACATCTTGGCCAGAGCAACGATTCAAATCATGTGGGAGGAAGATGAGATGAATTAGGCAATTCACGCCATGTATACTGAATGTAGAACGACAGGAGGCTAGAGCTTAGATCGATTGTAGGCCCTACAAGGTCACCAAAGAAGCAGGGAAGAATGCCTACTTGCTCCAAACTCCCAAAGGCAAAGACATCAGCAACAGTTGGAATGCAATCCATCCCACATGCTACTACTTTTAGGTGAAATCAATCTAAATATTTGTTGTCTTTTCATTTTTTATTTAAAAAGGATGAGTGGGCCCATTCACTGCCTTCAAAGACAGTTGGTCTCACGGCCTAAATTCAATGAAGCATTATTCAGCAACTGACACCTTCGAATCAGCCTTGCCCGATTCATGAGCTTTCACACTTCGGTTCGGCCCTGCTTGATCCATAGATTTGCATCTTCAGATCGACCCTGCTCGATCCACGTAATTACACCTTCAGATCAGTCCTGCTCGATCCACGGATTTGCATCTTTAGATCGACCCTACTCGATCCATGTAATTACACATTCGGATCGACCTTGCTTGATCCACAGATTTACATCTTCAGATCGACTCTGCTCGATCAAATGTTTATTACAGCTTCAGATTTTCAACAGAGTTTACCTTAGAAAAGGTACTGTTCAAACTCCCTATGAGTTGTGGAAAAGTAAGAAACCTGATCTCTCTCACTTTCATGTTTTTGGATGCAAATGTTACATCTTGATTGATAGAGAGAATTTAGGTAAGTTTGATTCTAGGAGTGATGAAGGAATTTTTATTGGATATTCTTCCAATAGCCGTGCATTTAGTATCTATAACATGCGTTCTGAAAAAGTTTTAGAGTCCATTAATGTTGTGTTTAGTGATGTAGGAGATTTTTCAGAGTATTCTCAAGAATGCAAAATTTAAGACATATCTGTTCCTTGTGTGCCTACATAAGATGGTGTGAACACTACTGAATCTCCTGAACCTAAACCTTGGTCAAATGTACTGTCACCTACTTCCAGTGCTACAACAATAGGATCTACTTGATGCAAAGTATCATCTGCTCATTTATCATTACAAAATGAAGGGATAGAGTTGGTTGTTGATCTTTCTGATGAAAGCATTCAAAGGAGAAACCAAAGAAGAAAATATCAACCAACATGGTGAAAGAACCATGAAGAGGTGGCGGAAATGTTGAATGGAAGCATGTAAACAAGACATGCATGTAAAGATATGGATTAATAGGATTCAAAAATGAAAATAAAGCATAGAAACATTATACCTTCTCCTAGTGCTTAGATTTGATGAAGTCAAGATTCAAAAGTATGAATCCTCCACATTTTAACACCATCTTGAGAGAATGAGAGAGTGGCCGAACCTAAGAGAGAGAGCTTGTTTTTCTTTTGAGTGAACAAAATGAACACTTAACCTAAAATGCAACCATTTGCATTTATATATACACGGGTCATTTTGTAATTAGTTTTTTTTTTCACTTGCATGCCCCAATAAAATCTTATTCTAAAAGGAGCCCAAGCATTTATTAATTTGCCCTTTGAATAATCAATATTATTCAAGGGCCCATGTAAACTAAACTAGTTTACATTAACAACCCATAACTTTACCCTTTTGCCTTTTAACTATTAAAATGTTATTTTAGTTCATCTCATTTATCTTAACGCTTTAAGATATAATAATAAAATACAATTAATTATTGCTTGACCATTTCAACCTTGAAAATGTCACAAATAATTTTTCATGTAACTATTACCATAGAAATCCTAAAATTACCCTTAAAAGGTGCTAGCCCTTTTTGGATAATCATTTCTCTCTCTTATCCTTTTCTAACTTCTCAAGGCTATTGGTGTGACCATGTAGGTCCACTATGGATTAGCCGTGAGCCGATTCTGGATGAATCCAAAAACCTGTTCGGAGGCCCAACGACTACGGTAAACATCTAGTAATGTGCCATAGTCCGTAAACCACGATGAAGAAATACTTCATCGAACTCTCTTCAGATCATATGTACCATGCAAGTAAAGTCCCTCCATTGATATATCCTGATCGAGTATGGATTCATGGAACATTAAAATCCTAAACTTGATCTTCTACCGAATCATCAATCAATATGTCCAGAACTTGTCATCACGAACTTGCTTTCGTAGGACTAATAATAGACTCTGGCCAGAGATTCTGATTTCCGACATTTATCAATGTTCGTCCAGGAACTTGAATCCGAATGGAGTCAGCGGTACTCCTGATCCTATATTTCTGAGTCAATGATCCCTTCTTGACCATCGTTTGTTTCCGCATATGAACAACGCATGACCAAATAGGCTTTATCATACGAAACATGACTAGTCTCGTACTTATACACCGTATGAACCATATGCATCCGTATCGGATCCGACCACAATGTCTCAGGTCTAAGGACTACATCGTGCACTGATATAACCAAACGATAAATCATTTACTACATGCTTTTCCAAGTGATTTGTCGTTATTCGATCACGTTCGAAAAACAGTTCACCAACCGCTAATCCATAGTAATGCCCAAGTGACATGACTATTATCGTCATCTGTACTTATATCAACTCATGATATCTTTTGGAAGCATCTAGTATGCCTACTATGCAATATAGTTGCCCAAATTATATTTGCTTCTGTGGGGAACCTTTTGATAAATTCATTTACCGATTAAATGAATCATCTGGACAATTCATATACATACTTTATTTTAAATGCATGACTGAATAAAGGA